GAAAGGAGAATTTCTCCCAAGCTTTCGAGTTACGCCGGTCCATTGAGAGGGCAATACAGGGTGAGATGACTATTCTCCAGTATTTTACCTTCCTTAACAACAGGTGGAAGAAACTTGATTATCTTCAGGATTACAAGCCTGTCTGTCCTACGAATTCTGCTAGTTATCGAAAGTTTGTGGAATATGAGCGGGTCTTCAAGTTCTTGGAAGGCCTAAATGTGGAGTATGAACCGGTTCAAAGCAAAGCACTTGGTATGGACATACTTCCTTCTCTCTAGGAAGCTTTCGCTTATGTGCAGAATGAGAAGAGTTGCCGCTCTACGATGCTTCCTTCTACCACCACTGATCGTTCTGCCTTGGTTTCTGCACCTTCCCCAGATGGAGAGTGTGTGTCTCCTGGTTCTCGTCCTTCATCTGAGATGGATAATCTTTTTTGTGACTACTGCCGTAGACCTAGACACACCCGAGAGACTTGCTGGAAGCTGCATAAGACTCCTTCTGGTGGCCGAGGAGATCGGCCTAGTCCTCGAGGGGGTAGGTCGAGCCAGTCTAGAGGCCGAGGGGCCAATGCTCGGGGCTATCTTTTTGACACGGTTGAGCCACCACCTTTAGCTCATGTTATCTCACCGATTGTTGATGTTTCTGGGTTGTCTACCTTAGAGTTTGAGATTGCTTTTCACCACTTGCTAGACCGTCGAGCCTCTCCTCCCGTCTCCGATGCATCCTCTTCTTCCTTTACCCACTCAGGTAACTTGGCTTCATCTACAAGTGCATTGCTATCTCATAAGACTGTTCCTTGGATTATTGATTCTGGTGCTTCCCACCATATGTCTGGTTCCCCTAATTTGTTCTCAGGGTATACCCTCCTCAGGTCAGGAAAAAGTGCATATTGCTAACGGTACTATTTCATCTGTGTCAAGGAGAGATTTAATTCATGCCACCTCTTCCCTTCATTTATCCTTTGTACTCCATGTTCCCAATTTTGGTGTTAATATTTTATCTTTGAATCGTATTACTCATGATTTGAATTGTAGCGTGACATTTTTTCCTGATCATTGCCTTTTTCAGTACCTTTATCACGAGGAAGATGATTGGTAGTGGTAGAGAGGAACATGGTCTCTACATTCTGGATCAGACTAACAAGCTGACTCATGCATCTATTCAGTTACCATCCACCAAGGACGACATTTGGTTGTGACACCATCGCTTAGGACATCCCTCTTTTTTATTACTTAAGCATATTTTTCCTTCTATTTTGGAGAAACATAATGTGTCTGATTTTCAGTGTGAGTCATATCAACTTAGAAAACAACACAGAGCTTCTTTTGCTCCTCTCAATAAAAGTTTCGTTCCATTTTCTTTTATTCATTCTGATGTAAGGGATCCCTCACGTTTTGTGTCTTTGAAAGGTCAAAAATGGTTTGCTACTTTCATAGATGACTGTTCTAGGGCCACTTGGGTATATCTGATGAAAGACAAGAGTGAGGTGTTTTCTATGTTTCAAACCTTTCATAGAATAGTTTGCACTCAATTTGGGGTGGTTGTCAAAATACTGTGTTCTGATAATAGGGGGGAATACATTGACTCGGGTCTTGCCAGTTATTTTGCCACCCATGGCATTATTCACCAAACTTCTTGCACTAAGGCCTCGTTTAGGAACAAGCTAATTTAGTAACTTTTTGCCTATTTGACTAAAATATGAGCTAAAAAAAACTAGTATGTTTGGGATGACTTTTTGACTTTTTACGAAAAGATGTGCAAAAAGTAAAAAGAAAAGAGAATCTTTGACTTTTTGGTACGGGTTGTTGACTTTTTGGCTAATTTAGTAACTTTTTTGACTTTTTTGCTAAAAGAGAGGGTTCCCAAACGAGGCCTAATATTCCTCAGCAAAATGGTATTGCGGAATAAAAAAATCACGATCTCCTTGATGTGGCCCGTTGTTTATCCTTTGAAATGTGTGTCCCTCGATCCTATTAGAGAGAAGTGGTTCTCACTGCAGCTTATTTGATTAATCGTCTTCCCACCCAAGTCCTTTAACAACACACCCCTCTTCAGGTTTTATTCGGATCCACGTCTTCTGGGTTCTCCATTCCCCCTAAGACCTTTGGATCTGTTTGTTTTGTCCATAATCATTCACCCATTCTGTTTTCCTGGGTTACTCTACCACCCAAAAGGGATATAAGTGTTATCATCCTCCATCTCACAAATGGTTTGTCTCCATGGATGTCACTTTCTTTGAATCTCAGCCTTACTTTCCGACCTCCCCAGTATCACAGTCATCCCTTCAAGGGGAGCCTTGGTGTGAAGATATTCCTATGCCATTACCACTAGTGGTTGAACAAAAACAGATAGAGGATGTTGGCAAAGTTTATGTCAGGGACAAAGATAAACAGAGAGTCACCTGGACGCAAGAGACTACGTTTCCTTCTCTACTACCAACCTCTTCTCCAGATGAGTGTCCAGAGACATCCTCCTCAGTATCACAATAATCCCTTCAAGGGGAGCCTTGGTGTGAAGATATTCCTGTGCCATTACCACCAATGGTTGAACAAAAACAGATAGAGGATGTTGGCAAAGTTTATGTCAGGGACAAAGATAGACAGAGAGTCACCTGGATGCAAGAGACTACGTTTCCTTCTCTACTACCAACCTCTTCTCCAGATGAGTGTCCAGAGTCATCCTCCTCTCCTGAGAGTCCAGGTAATTCTAATCCTAATGCTTCTATTCCAGAGTTCCCAGATCTTGATGTTCCCATTGCTAATAGGAAGGGGGTTAGGTCATGTACTCAACATCGTATTACTAATCATGTCTCTTATTCTAATATGTCTCCCTCATACAAAGCCTTTCTATCCAATATTTCTTCTGTGAGTCTACCTAACAACTTTCAGGATGCTCTTTCTATTCCTGAATGGAAACATGCCATGACGGAGGAGATGAGAGCTCTCAACAAAAATGGCACTTGGGAGTTGGTAGAGTTACCTAGAGGCAAAAATCCAGTTAGGTGTAAGTGGATGTACACTGTGAAACACAAAGCAGACGGTCATAGAACAGTACAAAGCAAGACTGAATGCTAAGGGCTTCACTCAGACTTATGGGGTAGATTACTAGAAGACATTTGCACCGGTTGCTAAGATGAACTCTGTGAGAGTACTACTTCATCAGTTTGATGTGAACAATGCATTCCTTCATGGAGACCTAGAAGAAGAGGTCTATATGGATATTCCCTCTGGTTTTGAGGATGCTAAGTCCAAAGGTAAAGGGGTGATTTGGGATGATCTAAATAAATACATTTTTTGACTTTTTATGAAACATGGGTTGAGTATCAAGCGATGTGGTAGAGAGGTGATGTGACTTAAATAAGATGATGTTACTGAAATAGAATAGTGACTTTTTGACTTTTTTAGGGGATGACAAACAAGGCCAAAGTGTACAGGCTCCGGAAGTCGCTTTATGGGCTAAAGCAGTCCCCTAGGAGTTGGTTTGAAAGGTTTGCTCAAGCAATCCTGAGATATGGGTTCAAGCAAAGTCAAGCTGATCACACCTTATTTGTGAAACACTCCTCACATGGTAAGACCACAGCTCTTATTGTTTATGTTGATGATATTGTTCTGACAATGGGATGATATTGACGAGTTTGAAATCAAAGACTTGGGTAATTTAAAGTATTTTTTGGGCATTGAAGTAACTCGGTCCAAAGATGGTGGCATCTTCATATGCCAGAGGAAGTATGTACTTGACTTACTAAAGGAAACCGAAATGCTTGGAGGTAGACCATGTGATACACCTCTAGAACTAGGCCAAAAACTAAGTGAGGATCAAGGGGGAGATCCAGTCGATAGGGGGAGAAACCAGAGGCTAGTGGGTAAGCTCATATACTTATCCCACTCACGTCCAGATATTGCCATTGCAGTGAGCATGGTTAGCCAGCTTATGCATGCTCCTAAGAATTCCCATTTAGAGGCAGTTATGAGAATCATGCGGTACCTGAAGTCTTCTCCTGGAAATGATCTCTATTTCTCAAAACATGGACATCTCAAATGTGGAGGCATTCACTGATGCAGATTGGGCTGGATTAGTCACTAGCAGACGATATTGCACATTTATTGGGGGCAACCTAGTCACTTAACGAAGTAAGAAACATAATGTAGTTGCTAAATCTAGTGCTGAGGCAGAATTCAGAGCTATGGCTCAAGGTGTATGTGAGTTGCTATGGATTAAACTATTGTTGGGAGACTTAGGGATTCATCAAACTGATTCAATGAGATTGTACTGTGACAATAAGGCAGCAATCAACATAACTTATAATCCAGTTCAACATGACAGAACCAAGCATATGGAGATTGATAGGCACTTCATCAAAGAAAAGCTCACTAGTGGCACCACCATATGTACTCCATTTGTGAAAACTGAGGACCAACTAGCAGATGTTCTCACCAAAGGAATAGGGAGCAAACCATTTCATGACATTCTCAACAAGCAGGGTATGAGAGATATCTTCGCATCAGCTTGAGGAGGAGTGTTAAAATAGGAAATAATATTGGTTATAATTTTATTTTATTTTATTTTATTTTCCCTAATTGGTGTAATGAGCTGGCCCATAATTCATGCCTAATGGCACTCCTGTAATTACGCATTATTATCAATATAAAAGGGAATGAGGTCTCACTCATTCCCTAACTCTTTCTCTTCTTTAAACTTACATTCAATTCCCGATACAATTTTCAATTTGACAAACTATGGTGAAGAGGCAGCTAAGTTTATCCTGAGTTTGATTTGTGCAGTGAGAATTAGCTTTGTATATCTATGATAAAAATCAAGAACTAGAAATAACAAAATAAAATTCCCCTCATACTCAAACATTATTCTTATAAACTACAACAATAAATTGATAACAATAAGAAGATGAAAGAGATTCTTAAGAAATGGTATCAATCAACAAATAGATTAAAGAGAGAGAGAGAGAGAGAGAGAGCATGCAAAACAGCATATAAAATACTCACTTCCATATAACTTTCAAGGCAGGACCACTTAAAGGATTCCTATGAGAGTTACGAGAAATCTTTGGCAGATTCCTTTCTTCAATCTTAGCACAACTGGAACTGAGACCACTACGGAAGTAAATACCTAAACAATAATCAACTCCTTAATTAGTATCTTAAAGTCAATCATGATGCAACTAAATAGCAAGGAATGACATGTTAGAATGTGGCTTCACTGAAATTATGGCTCTTGATCAAGTGGAATGGCCAACAATACTATGTAATCAATTCCAAATCGTCAGGACAGGGAATACCATCTAACATATGGTTATACAAACTACAATTCATGTTCAATAGATCATTTAGAATTATGGCATTTGTAGTACGCAAAGTAACCAAGTTTTGGTTTGAAGGATGCTTTATAACATTCAGGGTGAAGTTAGGAATCCTTTACATGGGACAGGTCCTAATAAAAATTAGCAAGGAGTAATTTATAGGATGTTTTAAGCACTGAAAGTATCAACTCCCCTACTACTTCATTTGGGAAATTAAATCAGCTATTACAGACTTCATGTGATCAAGCTAATTACTAAATTGGATGTGAATAAACTAAATGAACATTTATACAAGCAAGTTCTTTTAGTAAATGGTAGTACTACTACTCCCCAAATGGACATCATCTATGAAGCACAAACACTTCAAAATAGGCACCGTAGCAGTGTCGGACACGGTGGCGTGTCCCTTTCATTTTATTTTACTTGTTTTGTATGGGACATGACAGGGACACGGCAAGGGGAAATGGGGGTAAATCCCTAATTCGAACTAGAGAGAGAGAGAGAGAGAAGACCTAAATCGAATGAAATAGAGAGAGAGGAGAAGACCTAAACTTCGAACCTGTTCATTGAGAGAAGCCTTTGATCAATCTCCATCTTCAAACCTATTCATCGAGCAAAGCCTTCGATCAATCTCCATCTCTATCAAGCTCCATCTCCAGTTGATCTTCATCACCATCTCGACTTGGGAAGTCCCTTCTCTCTCGTCTCCGGCTCACATCTCATCTCTCTCGTCTGTCTCGCATGTCCTCTCTCTCTCTCCCTTTTTTTTTTTTTTTTTTTCTCTCAGTCTTATCGTCTTCTATCTTTCTTTTTTATTTTCTGATTATACTCTATTTCTCTATTTCTATATTTACATTTATATATTTTATATATTATATATTTTGTGGATGGATGATCTATTTATTTATTTAAATGTATTGATTTTTATATATACATTGAATTGAATAATATTAGTTTTTTTTTAATTTTGATTGTTTGGTAACATAATATTAATCTACATAGCAAATACATATATTAAAAAATAAAAAATAAAAATATTTTACGTCTTCCCTGCCGTGTCTGTGTACCTATTTTTTTGAAATTGCCGTGTCCGTGTCCGTGCTTCATAGGACATCATAGCGCCACCCAATTCACCCATCATTTAAAGAGGGATATCTTAACCAAGGGGGGCAAGACACATACCATTAAAATTGGGAACTTTCAAAAATAAATAAATAAAAGTAAAATGAAAAATCATGAAGAATGTCACAAAGAAAAATTCATAATAAAAATGATCAGAGAGTACAATTTGTAAAAGAACAGAGAAGTATTTTGCCTGAACTGCTGATAGGTGGAGTCTTCACATATAGTGATGCTGCAGTCACTGAATGAAAGGCTGAGTTTTCAGTCAAGCTTTCTTCAACCTTTTTAGCAGGAATTGCAGCATCCGCTTGACATTCTTGAATTGATTCCCTCATATGAGTTAAACCAACTTCTTCCCCTAAACAACATGCTTATATGAGCAACAAGTTCCTGTGTTACAAAAAGATTCTACAACAGTATAGAAGGCTTGTCCTATTTGCCTAATACAGTCCCAACTTCCAAAGCGTAATTCTTAACTAGATATACCATCAACATTACCTCTTGTTTCTTTATTTTTCATTGCAGACCAGCATGAACCCAGTTCAGCATGGGCAGTGAGTGCAACTGGCTTAGCAGGTCTATCTCCAGCTCCTTCAGCAATTTTCACACTTCCTCTTGCAGATTGCTTTGAAGGAAATCCAGGAGGGTGTTCCTCACCAGAATGTTGCTGCATGGTACTAGTTTGCATACCATGAAGTGCGGGAAAATTAAAAGTCTCTATCAATTGGAAAGACTTTGAAGTGGCAATTTTACCCAGAACTTACTTGCTCGGATGTGTAACCTGTGTCACTGCTTTGGTGCTGGGTTTCAGATTGACGGCTTCATCAGGAAGACAAAACTTTACTTTTGAACTTCTATTATTTCTTCATGTTTTAAAGGTAACTCTCATTTCTACGTTTCTGGGAAATATATCGGCCCCCACAGATGTAAAGGAATTAGAGTAAGTTTTCTTAATTGAGACTTTGCATAGTCACCATCACCACAACTGTCACAACATTTGTACTGCACAACAAAAATGAAGAGATCAATACATAAACCAGAGTCCCACAACTATAGTTTGAACAATGGTGAATCATATAGTTTTAGAAGTTGATTTATGGTTACAAAGCTAGGTATTTTCTTAATACTTCAATAATATTGATCCCCAAGGAGCAAAATAAAAATAAAAGGAAAGGCTTCAAAGTAAGACAAAGCTTCACTATAATTTAATCAAGGAAAATGCTAATGGCTGACCAAATGATTGTCATTAGCCTCAGTAGGTGAGTAGAATGTATATTGAAATGTGTGAAAAGTGTGTAGAAGTTTGTGAAAATGCTTTGGGATGCGTAAAAAATGTCTTGAGATTCTAACTTCTTTGGCATTTTTTCCCGTTGTTAATAGCACGTTCGGATATCATTACCATGACCTTTAATTAATACAGATTAGAATGAAATATTAAAAAATGAAAATAAAATACCATCATTGTAAACCCTTGGTTCTAAATTTACAAGCCATACAAAGAACACTGGAAAAAGGTGCTCCATAACTTGTGCTGAGAATTCAATCTCTCTCAGATTGTGGAAAGCTTGTAGGTCTACAATTTAAAAAATGGCAGAAGGCTGTAGCATTTCTAGATAGGAAGAAATTTCAATTCGCAAATATTTAAAAGAACTAGGTCGCTGGAATGGAAGATTAATGGTTGTAAGGAACTCTAGATGGTAAAAGTTTTGTACACATGAATAGAATAAGATGAAAAATGTAATAAGAGTGGGAATAGCATGCAAGGTAAAATGTAATGGAATGCCCTTTTCAATTCCATTCTTTGGTTGCACGTGGGAATGAAATTGCCCAATCCTGTTCCAATGTCTTGTTACAATTATTAAACTCCTGGAATAGAATGGAACTTCTAAACTAAACTAACACGTTGGATAAATATTCTATATTATATAATAATAAAATAAATAATATGATCATATATTACATAATATCAGATAGATATATCATATATGAACATGCCAATCTTCATTTGTAGTACCAGACACGAGAAATGGAAGGGAAAGCTGGAATGGGCATTTCATTCCAACCTATTCCCTCATACCAACATATCCTAAGTGTCCATTTGATTAGAGTGCAAGATATGATGGAAAATGAAATTGATAGAAAGTGAAAGCAAAGTTTATTTTTTGTCTACATTAAGATGAACTTTTTGTGAGAAAGTCATAAAAAAAACTTGAAAAATAGATAATAGTAGGCTACTTGAGAAGGGGAAAAAATCATATATCTTTTGCATGAAACTAATCGCCAGGTTAATATACTAAAATAGATTGGTCCAAAAAAAAAATTAACTTTCTATCAATTTTCACCACGCATGCTAAACAAATGCATAAAATGTTCCGTACTTTCCACATCTTTCATCCTAACTAAACTCACCCAGCAACAAGTCGAACCTAACCTGATTTGTATCCCCTTTTCAATACCTGTTTGATAACTATCTCAGTATGTTTGCAGCCCGGATCTTAGTTGGAATTTGATTGGTATGAATTTCCAAATTAGGTTCATCGTATTGTTATTATTATTATGGTTGTTGTATCATGGATCATCTCATTTAAATTTTATGAAACCAGATTACATTACTTTCCGATTCAACTTTGTGAGAGTCATTCTGTAACTTTCAAGTTTTAATTATTTTTTGTTTTAGGTATGAAATCTGTAAATAAATTTATATTTTTGGATTGTATTTAATTAGCACATACTTCATTTCCTCTCTTTTCTTTTCTTCTTCTTCATTTGCAGAGAACTCCCTCCCTCCCTCCCTCCCTATTACACTGTTTGTAACAAGAACTTCTACCTTGGATTGGAGGCACCTAGAGTTAGATTTTGCAAATTTACCAAGAAGGAACGTCGTAGATCTCATCGAGCTCTTTGCACCCATAGTCTTGGATTTTTTATTCAACAACTTTTGAAGGTCTAAGGTTTTTCTTCTCCTCTTCTTACTTTGAGGTAGAGATTTTCTTAACTTTGTAAATATGATTTTGAGATGAATATGTGATATTTCGCTAGACAGGAAATTTTATAAATATTTGAGATTTCTATGATAATTATACCCAAAAAATAATTAGGGCTTGATAAACAATTATCATTTCTTAAAAAAATTTATTCCATAAATAGACATGTATATGAATTTCAAAGTTAAATATCAAAAGTAAAAAGCCCTAAATATTTTAAATCATAGGATGTGAATTTACAAAGTTGTTAAAGCATACGGTTGAATTTTTCGAATTGGGAATTATTTCCTATCATTGTATTATGTTGAGATATTGTTAGAAATAATTGTTGACATCTTGTTGAATATATTTTGGATTGGGAATAATTTTCTGTCATTGTAATTGTTGGTGGCAATTGGTGGATAATTGCATTGTTGTATATTTTGACAATGATTAGGAAAAATTGAAACCATTTAAACATCATACATTGATATTTGCATCTTTATTATCGGCTAAGAAGCACGAACACTTCTAAGAAGGTGACGTATCCGGGTCGTGTCTGTGTCGGACACCGACACTCTTTGGACACTTCCACAACACATGTCCGACATTCTTCAAAATATGTCTTATTTTTTAATATTTTTTAAAGAACCAGATGCTCTTTGGACACTTTGAGGATACACGTGTGTATCTCAAACACACATGTCCATCAATTAGACACATGTGAAACTAATTATAAGTTTGAACAAAACAACTTAAGATACAATAATAAAACAAAAATTATATAAATTTATAGAGATTAGTGTCATATTGCACCTTTTCATTATCTTTGAATGATATATTTATATATATATAACATATAATAAAAACATAAAATTATATATTTCATGCATGTCCCTTACGTGTTGTGTTCTTTAGATTTTGAAAATTAGCGTGTCGGCATAGCCATGTCATATCTGTGTCATGTCACGTGTCCGTGTTCGTGTTCGTGCTTCTTCGACCATCAGCATGCTTCTTTCGAATAAAAATGTTCATTTTGTTACTCTTGAAAATTGTGGAAACTATTTCGAATTATTGGGGTAAATAAAGTGGTTAATCCGGGTAGTGTATATAAAAGATTTTGTAAAAAGAATTGAGTTGGCTAGAGATCCTCGATGAAAGACTAGAAACCCACGCAAATTAAGTTCCAATTTCCTTCAGGTTAGTAGCTAGTAAAGTGGGGGTGATTTTGATAGTTCTTTGATAAACTACTAGCAATACAGACCTAGGGATTCCCAGTATTTTATTTACGGCTTAATAATTGTTGAAACGGAAAATGTGAAGTTGGAAATTTGAAAACTTGCATTGGTTTTTGTTTCACGAAAGAAAACTATTTTGACATGAATTGGTGTGTCCATTGCATTCATGATCATATATCCAGGTTAAAGCATATTTACGTAATTAAGATTATCTCTGTTGAGCCTAGTGCTCATCCCTTTGTGAAAATCATTTTTTAGGTGTTGATAGTGCGCCACCACCAAAGTGGTGACTATTGTGAAGTGACAGCAACAAGCTCAGTTGTTTTATTATTTGTACGGCCTATGGCCTTATTTGTATTGGGTTGAGATCCCGGGTCATGTCACTTTTATATGCAAGCCCGTAAGGCAACTTTTTGTGAATATAGAAATAAATATTCAATGCAATGTTTATTTGATTTATTCTCATGCCATATAATGAGTTACTGTAGGATGCATTGTGACTCCCAAATCATCATGAAATGAGTAGAATCCATTATTGGAGAGTGGTTCATTTTATTTTATCGTCTCAATTAAGAACCTATAATGTATTCATATTCTTTTTAAACCTCAAGGACTTTCCTTTAAAATTTAATATATTTTTTTTTCCTAAATTAATTAGAGAATCAACTTATTTTGTCAAATCAGATCCTTTAGAAATCGGGGTGTGACACACCCTATGGTTTTAGGTGTTGAAGGCCAAAAGGTAGGTAAAATGATTAGGCTTTATTTGACTTAATAAGCTAGGTTTTGACAAAGAATATGGGTAGTTTAGGAGTAGAAGAGTACAAAGAGTGAAGTAGAATCTAAGAATTTCACCTAGAATTTGTTAAGAATCCCCCCCAAGGTTAGATCACATCATACATACATCAAACAATTTTCAATTCTCTAAGGCTGTGTTTGGATCTTGGATTAGGGGAGGGATTTGTGCAGAGAGAAGAAATGGCAGCGGAGAAAAACCATCAGTAATACAGTGATATTCTCAGCCTAATGATTGGCACGCAGTTGAGTTTATATACGTTGGCCTGCAGCTGAGTTTATATACTGTATTACTGTGTAATACTCCTGATTACAACTGTGAACATATTCCTTTCTCATATTTGGTTGCTGAAGTTCTGGTACTATATAATACAGCAAGAGACATGCAGTGTGAGACCTTAGTTGCACAAAGCAAAGGCAGGGACAGGAGCGGGGTCAAAAGAGCAAAGGCATATAGAAATTTCTTGGGTTGGAGTGCCTACGAGAGCGTGTATATATTTATTTATTAAATGTATAAAAATATTCTAACAATTATTTTTGTGCTTAGTTGTAATATATGTAGGAGTGTGGTTCAGTGTAGTTTGAGACTAAGGGTTGGTTTGGGAAGTGAGTTGGCTTTTTTGCTTTTTTGACTATTTTAGCTTGGGCTAAAAAGTCTGGTTTGGTAAGGGCTTTTTGACTTTTTGATTTTTTTGGCTTTTTTTTGTGGAGAAGAGTGTAATGATTATGAATTGGATGTAATGTTTTATTTTTTATGGCTAAAATAGCCTATTTTGTCTTTTGTAGCTAAAATAGCCAAATTAGCCCTTCCCAAACGGACCCTTAGCGGGTGGCGAATTAGCAAATTAATTATTAGAAACCACTATTTTTTCATCACTAACCGGCGGAGCGACTAGCAAATGATGGTGGTTTCGACTTGACGGTTCAGGCGGATTGGCAGATTAGAAAAAAACCTAATTCAAATTACAAAATCTGAATCAAACATTTTTTAAAGTGATTATAAATCAGCTAAAATAGTCGAAATTAAAATATATGTCCATTTATCCAGCATTCAACATTGACAAACTAGTAAACTAGAAATTAAACAATCCAAACAACTTATATAATAACAATCCAATAAAGCAACAAATACTAAACTAGCAAAAAAAAACAGCCCTTAAAAAAAACACAAATTAGGAATGAACACACACACAGACAGAGAGAGAGAGAGTAAAAAAGAAAAGAAAAATGAAGAATCAAAAACTAACAATAACTGTAAATTTATGTTATTGAACGAACAAAATTATCAAAAAAAAAAATAAAATAATAAAATAACAGAATAGCAGGATGAAATATAAAAAAGGTTAAAAAAAATAGTTGAAAAATACTTATAAAATGATCGAATCAAATTGAAGTAGGAATGTTTACAATCTATACTAAATCTTATAAGAAACTATACAACACCCAAAGATTTAAGAGAGAGAGAGAGAGAGAGGGGGGGGAGAGAGTACCAACGGCGAGGCGAGAAGCGGTGTGAGCCGGTAGCAACTCAGCGAGGAAGGAAGGGGAGACACGAGGCGAGAGGCGTGATCTCATATGAGAGAGATATATAGGTTTAAATGAGAAATGATTGGGTGTGTGTGCGTGTATGTATGTTTAGGCCTAGTTTGGGAAGACAATAAAGCAACAAATACTAAACTAGCAAAAAAAAAACAGCCCTTAAAAAAAACACAAATTAGGAATGAACACACACACAGACAGAGAGAGAGAGAGAGAGAGAGAGAGAGAGTAGAAAAGAAAAGAAAAATGAAGAATCAAAAACTAGCAGTAACTGTAAATTTATGTTATTGAACGAACAAAATTAGCAAAAAAAAAATTTTAAAAAAAATAACAGAATAACAGGATGAAATATAAAAAAGGTTAAAAAAAATAGTTGAAAAATACCTATAAAATGATCGAATCAAATTAAAGTAGGAATGTTTACAATCTATACTAAATCTTATAAGAAACTATACAACACCCAAAGATTTAAGAGAGAGAGAGAGAGAGAGGGGGGGGAGAGAGTACCAACGGCGAGGCGAGAAGCGGTGTGAGCCGGTAGCAACTCAGCGAGGAAGGAAGGAAGGGAAGACAAGAGGCGAGTGGCGTGATCTCATATGAGAGAGATATCTAGGTTTAAATGAGAAATGATTGGGTGTGTGTGCGTGTATGTATGTTTAGGCCTAGTTTGGGAAGACTAAATAAGTGTACTTTTTGATTTTTTATGAAATTTGAGTTGAGTTTGAAGTGATGTGTTAGAGAGGTAATGTGACTTAAATAAGATGATGTGACTTAAATAGGATAGTGACTTTTTGACTTTTGGTCTTTTTTCAATCATGCCAAACTTGGCCTTATTATAATACATTTAATTGGAATGTATTGGTACGGGAGTGTTTGATAGAACTTATAAGCTGCTTATTTTAGTTTTTAACTTAATTTAAGCTAAAACATTGTTTTTGTTACTGCTTAACTCATCAGATTATAGCTTAAATTAAGTAGAAAAATAATTTTTTCTTGAAGTGGCTGGGGGTGCTCAGCAGATTATAGCTTAAACGGGAAGTTGGTTTGGAGGGGCAAAATTACTTAAATGCCCTTCATCAAGTTCCAAAAATACCAAATACCCCATATATAAACCATATTTTCACACTGTTCACTCTGAGAGAGAGAGAGAGAGGATGCCGATTTCCGGTGAGGGTGGCAATTTCCAGCGAAGGTTGTAGTTTCTGACGTTTCTAGTATCCAAATACCATGTCTCCTCTCTCTCTCTCTCTCTCTCTCTCTCTCTCTCTTTTGACCGACCTTTTACCGTCGCTTTCACAATTGAGGAGCAAAACCCTAACCGTCGCGATCAATCTCAAACCCTAAAGCCGAAACCCTAGTGCCGCCAATGACATCTAAAACCCTAGCGCGATCAATCTCTTCTCTCTCTTCTGTGATCGCTTTCTTCGCGATCTCTTCTCTAGTGGAGAAAAAAGAGGCAGCCTCTGGTAATAATGGCATTGCTTTCTCAATAGCTTTCTCTTTGCTCTCGTCGCCGCTGTGCTTGGGAAACCCCGTATTTTTATATAATAAAAATAATATATGTATACATTTAAATTTTTTTAATTATTCACAATATTTTGAATTTAAAAGTCTGCATATTTTTATACTGAAAATTTATTCAAAATAAAATAAAATAAAATATTTTTGACTTTATATTATTACTCAATATTAATTTCTGAACCGTATGATATTTTTATTATATTTTTCTTTATATTTTTTTTTAAGCAAATTACATTGGAATCTAATATTTTCTATACTAAAACCCAATTAAAAACCATGTGTTTGCTCCCCATGTTTTCTCGTCTCCTACTTTCCACGTGCAATCATTTTCTGTGACAAAAGAAAATGTGGTGGACATGCAAATGCTATACACCATCAATTTCCTTTTTATCCCTTTTTTTTTATTTCTTTTCATTTTTATCTTCTTCTATTCTTCCTCATTTTTCCCATAAAATTGAACCTAACTTTTCCTCACATTTCTTCATCTTTTGCTTCACTTCCAGTTCCATCTCTCTCTCTCTCTCTCTCTCTCTCTCTCTCTCTCTCTCGGTTCTCTCTCTTTCTCTCTACCTCTCATCCTCAAAAGTCTCTTTCTTCTTCTTTATCTTTGTTCTTTATCCCTGTTTTTCCTCCTCCTCCCGACCTTCATAGCCACAGCCTTAACCCATACTATCACCAATCCGCGAACTTCTCCACCACCGGCACACCATCGGACCGCCACCACCACCATCACCTAATTCCATTATCATCTAGAACCACCATTCACAACGTGTTGTAGGTGAAGAAAGATAAGAAGAATAAGGAAGATGGAGGAGAAAGTTAGAAAAGTTTATTTTGAATTTTAAAAGTTGGTTTTCGGCTTACTTTCGGCATGCCAAAACCATCCATTACGGGAAGAAGTGAGAAAAATAGGTCATGTAAGATGAAGTACGAAGTAAGTTAAAGAGATTGGCGAAAGAATGAAGTAAAACTGTTAAGAATTAAGAAAGTTATGGAGTCCGAAAGATGGTTCAAAGAAAAGTTCGAGACGAGAGGCAAAAATCTTATTTTTTTGTCAAATTTTAGAGATCCGATGGCATGCAAAAAGAGACGGAACGTGGCATGTGAGGAGTGAAACAAAAGCTAGGCTGTGAGGTAAATCCAATGACATAAAGATAAGGTAAAACGGAGTTACGATGAAGAAGATACAAGTATTTGAACTGGTGGCATTGAAACTAAATTTTTTGGGTCTTTCTGTTCGGGCATGCTGCGGCTGTTGGAGAATATGAATTGAATTTTATCCAGCGTTTCTCGGCTCATGATGCTACGGTGCATCCTAGTACATTTGGGTTAATCGAGTGGTTCTATGACTTCGGGGATGACCACCCCTAGGTTTTCCGATGTGTAGAATCCATTTTGGGGGTTAGATCTTGCAAATTCTGAGTCTAAGATGATGATCAAGAACTAAAAGTTCTAAGGGAATCCAATGGAAGATCAACGGTGAGATCGCGTCCGATTAATACAAAATTTCAGCAAGACGATCATAGAGCCAAGACGGTCATATCTTACGATTAAAATCATAAATCAAATTCGGACAATAAATCGTTAGCAACCTAACATAATAAGAAAACTCTCTTAACCCTCTCATTATTTTTATTTGTTAAATTTTTATATTTGTGTTCATATGTTAAAATAGCTAAAAATTTAAATAAAATCTTGTGTATAGTTGTATATTAAATATTTGAAGGTTACTTTTATATTAGTAGCCTTAAAATCATGGTATAATTTTGGAATTAGAATTGCATGCGTAGTTTGTATCGTTAAAGAGATAATTGAAGATTTTATTTGGTTTGATTATACGACTCTTAAATCTATCAGAAACTTGTACAAATTTTTAGACAATTTCATGCTCAAAATTTTGAGATGATTTCTTCTACAAAGTTGTTGAAAATAATGTATAGTTCATCCAGGAATTTTTGTAACAATTATTCTAGTTTTGTAAAAACTTATACGAAATTTTAATTATATCTGAAACTGTAGACAAATTTTACAGCATATTGGAAAAATCATTAAAAATCCTATATTAAACCAAATCTGGTATTTTTTAAATAAAAAAATGAAATTTGGGAAGTTTAGTTCCATAATAAATTTGTAAATTATGGAATTGATTTATAAATTTAAGTATGGAATTATTTTAAGAAAATGTAACAAATCTGTATCATGAAATTTCTTGAAATTTTACTGAATTATTTATGACTTATTTCTGGGAAATTCTTTCTGAAAAATGAGCATAACATGTTTGTTGAATATCCCATATAGTTACATGAATTTTAGAGTTAAATAAATAATTTATTTATAATTTTAACTATGAAAATTATGTTCTGAAAATTCTGGGCAGAATGATAAAGAATCAAAATTACTACTTGTTATTAGGACTAAAAATCAATATTGTGCCAGTCTATTTAATAGAATCTTGTAAATTAGTAGTCCATGCATGTGTGTTGTGATTTATTTTAGTATTTAAAATTATTATATCACACCATGACTTGATTTAACTGTTCACAATAATTTATACATATTGATGGATTGTTATAGAATGTATGTGTTGTTATTTTCTGTTAAAAAATTATATTGAAATGGCATAATATCGATTGTGATCTAATTTGTAATTATTAGTGATTAATATGAAAATTAATTAAAATGATCAACGAAGTGTACGAAATTAACAGTTGATAGTTAATATCGATTGTTCAGGGTGAGTCCTGATTTTAAAGAGTGTATGAAATTAAGGGTTGACGGTTAATACCGGTTGTTTAAGGTAAGCCCTGGTTTTGAGAATTCTCATGTAAATTGTGTTGCGAAATCCTAAGATGGCACGAGACTTATTTGAACCCTTTTTGGTATTCGGTTTTGGAATAAGGGTGGATGTGCAGGTGGCACACAGGAAGGTTACGTACCCCTGGCAGACCGTTTCCTTGGGACAGACCACGGATGCCACTACTTGGGTATATAACTCCGGACATGGGCTTCCCTGGTAGCTATGGTTGGTAACACTTGAATATTTGACCAAGGGAGGATTTCAAATTAACCGTTGCCATGCTTAGTGGTTGGTAAGTTAAATCTCTTTGTTGAGATTTTGAGTGTCACCTAATTTATTAAAATTATTGAAATTATTTTAATGGTTGTAATTTATGTTTACAATTATATTGTTATCTCATGTTTATAATCTCATTACTTTTCTTCTAAAAAGAATGGTAGGTTGGTTATGTTTTCTTACTGTGTTGCAAAACTCATGGCATATATTTTTTGCCCCGACGTTTTATGTCAGGTTTTGGTGAGGAAATAATTGAAGCTGAAATGGAGTTGACGTTAACGTAGAGCCTTGGCTGACTTGAAACCATGTCTAGAGTCGAATAACTTTTATTATCTTATGTCTTAGTTATTAAGGATCTTATAATTTCATTTGATGTTGTATTTGGATAATTTTAAAATTTTATTTAATATTATTTGAACCTTTGGTTATGTACGAGAGTTGGAATGCCCTATTCAGATGACTACTTTTTTGTTTATT